TGGATGGGGAAGGGTGATGAAAATGCTCTATAATTAGATAGTGGTGATAGTTGCACAACCTTGTGAATATACTAAAAATCACTGAATTGTACACTTTAAGGATGGTGAATTTATGATATGTGAATTATAACACTTAAAAGTTTTAAAATTATTTATTTTTGAGAGACAGAATGTGCAAGTGGAGGAGGGGCAGAGAGAGAGAGGGTCTGAAACAGGCTATATGCTGAAAGCAGAGAGTCTGACACGGGGCTTGAAGCCATGAATTGTGAGATCATGACCTGAGCCAAAGCTGGATGCTTAACTGACTGAGCCACCCAGACACCCCTAAAGATTTTTAATTTAAGAAGGAGACAAAACTGCCCAAAAGTAAAGATGAGAAGTATACTGTCTCAGATTGCTACCTAGAGCATCATCAGAACTCTGGTAAGGCACCCCCAATTCCCCTCCGTCTCCCCTTTTCAGGCCATCCCCATCTCACCTTACAGCCATCTGAACCCTTGCCACCTGCCTCTTCCCAGCAGCACTCACCCTACGGTGATGCTTCTCCTGGGCCCCCTCTGTACTCGCCCAACTGGTTCTGGTATGACCCCATCTAGGGGAAGGTAGACAGAAATGTGACCATGCTGGGGCCCAAGGGACCTGAGGGAGCAGCTTTTTCACATTTCCTAGCAACCCCCTAGAAGGAGGGATTCCAGGGTGTGGTGAGGGTGGCTCCATATGCCCCCCTGCCATTGTTTGCCTCTGTGACTGTTGCTATGTTCCCCCGAGAGTTTGGCAAGCTGGTAGCTAAACACCATCTGGGGATTTACTTGGAGAAGACAAGTAGTGGGTGAGGGGTGGGGGTTCTCTTTTGCCAGGGCCTTTGTTTCAAAGGAGGGAAGTTAATTCTGCTGCCCTCAAAACACTCTGTAGCCTGAGGAGTGTGGACCCAGGCTTCCTAACACACAATGATGATTTAGACCATTTATTGAACACTTACTATGTTCCAGGCACTATGTTAAGTCCTCCAAGAGGAGACAAGCCTGGGCTGTGGTTCTGGTGCAGGTTCCACAATCAGACAGGCTTGGGTTCAAATCTTGGCTCCCCATTTTCTGGCTGAGTGACCTCAGAAAATTTTCTTAATCTCTCTGAAATTCCATTTCTTTGTAGAATGGGGATACCCTTATCTGTTTCCAAATGGTCCAATAATGATGTAATAATGCTCTGAGGAAATGCTCTACAAATGGGAGACTATGAGCTCCATGCAGGCAGAGACCTAATCCATCTTGTTTACTGCAATATCTCCAGAACATTGCACATGCTCTTCACTTTCCCACCCCCATGCCTTTTCCCATGCTGTTCCCTCCACCTGGAATGCCCTTTCCTCTACTCCAATCTCCATTAACTGACATCCTTCCTTTCACTCAAATACCACCTGCATCCCATTGGGGTGACTTCTATGTCTGGCTCATCTCCCTGATTAGGATGGAAGCTCCTGGATCTGAGATTGTACAACAGCAGAGCACTTAATTGCATGGACATAACTCTGACTAAGTTACTTAACTTTTCTATACCTCAATTTGCTTAAATTAAATTATTAAACGAGCTTAATAATGGTACCCCTAGGGGTGTTCTGAGGCTTCAATGAGGTAATGCATTTAGGATGGAGCTTGGCATGAAATAAGCCTTCAATAAGTGTAGTGAACCTGCACTGTTCAATATGGTAGCCACAAACCACATGGAGCAATTTAAAGTAAAATTCGTTAAAATTAACCAAAATTGAATTTAATTCAATTCTTACTTTAATTCCTCAGCCTCACTAACCACTTTCCTATCTAACTAGAAGCTACCAAATATGTCCAATAAGACAGCCCAAATACAGAACATTTCCATCATTGCAGAAAGTTCTATTGGATGCTGCTATGGATGATGATGCTGTGTGCACAATAGGCGCCCCTCCTGGCTCTCTCTGCTCAGACTCTGATGTCCCTAGAATAACTGGGGCACCTCACACTAAAAGGGTGAGGGAGAGAAAGGAGACTGGTGGGAAATAGGCAGGATTAGGGGCTAATGAAAGGGCAGTGGAGAAACCCAATCTCCACCTGCTACCAGCCTGGCAGGAAGTGGGTGTGGACAGAAGCCGGGGACTTTGCAGAAAGACGCTGGAATGTGAAGTGGGGTGGAGTTGAGGTGTGGAGTTACCTAACTGCTCCTGAATATGCTTGGTCAGGTGCCTCAGATGGAAGGAGATGGCCAAGGATATCCCCCCTTCTCCTTCTGGGCCAGACTCTATTAGGGCCCAGAGCAAAAAGAGTGTTCAGCACTAACTGATGTCAGCTAGGCTAAAGAAGTTGCAAGATAGCCCAGGAATGGGGACACAGGATACTTACAAACAGGGAGCCTGGGAGAGTTCTGGGCAGAGTGGCTTGTGATAGCCCAACCATTGGGGCTAAGGCTAGCCCAGGGGTCATTTCAGCCCATGTGGACCACCTCAAGTCCTGGAAGAGGTGATCACATGAATGTGCTGTGATCTCAAGCAGATGTGCTCCTGGTTTCTTTATAGACAGCCATTGATAACATGGCCTCTGCTCTCTTGGAGTTTCTGGCAGCTGGACAAGAATAATCCCATAGACGTTATGACCATTGACGGTCTATATATCTCCTTAGATCTTCCCTCTGACTGCATAAGGACAAAGAAAACACTGATAGCCCCATTCCATAAATGAGGCAAGTGACACTCAGAGATGTTATCCTGAAAGGGAGGTGTCATATAGGAATGGGGAGCAGGGCTGGCCTTGCAGGCATGTCTAATGGTGGAATATTCAGGCAGCGTTATAGAAATCAAAGAACAGGGAAATCCTCTGGGCTTCGTTCATCACCTCGCATACTTGGTGGACACCCCTCACTGATGAGGTGTTTTGAAATCACAAAAAACAGGGGTGCCTGGGTGGCTCAGTAGGTTAAGCATCTGACTCGACTCTGTCTCCTTAGATCAGGAGACAGATTTTGGCTCAGGTCATGATCTCAGTTTGTGAGTTCGAGGCCCATGTCGAGCTCTGTGCTGACAGCGTGGAACCTGCTTGGGATTCTCTCTCTCTCTCTCTCTGTCCCTACCCAGCTTGTGCATACTCTCAAATAAATAAACATTGAAAAAATCCTAAGAAACACCCTTACTGCCCCCCAAGACCATCAATATGCACCACCTCTCCCTTAGGGCCCAGGGCATGAGGGATCGCAGTGATGGAAAAGCAGGCAACAGGGTGTGGGGTACTCAGCCCTTCCCCATGCTGAAGGTGCAGGGTCAGCATTGCATCATAGGATTGGAAAGACATCAGGAAAAGTGGTGACAGCTCTGTGGGAAAAAACAAGCCTTTAGCAAGGACACATTTGAGTTCCATTTCTCTGCCCCAGCCTTTCTCTTCTAACATATGGATGCTTGGTGAAAAAGAATGTGAGTTTCCCACCCCAACAAACTGAATAAATTGTTTACTACCCTGATCAAGTCCCAAACTCTTGCCAGTCAGAGCTGGGTGTAAGGGGTGACCTTTGCATAACCCCAGGTGTTAGGTCTCTTCATTAGGGAGATGGGTAGACTGAGGATGGGGAGATAAAGAGTGCTGGCAGGGAACAGTCCTCACTCCTTCTGACATTCCCCCCTTCTCTGGAGGCCTGGGAGCATGGGTGGAGGTTTTACAGACACACAGTCTGGGCTCCCAGGCCCTCTGGCACACTATCCTGTGCCCGCCTGCCCCCCCAGACCTGTCTCAGAGCCAAGCACGGGACCTCACTTAATCTCAATTATGTAACGTGCAATCCAACAGTTGGCCAAGAAGGAGGTGCCTGGAGCCACACCCAGGAGTGGGGCAAAAGGCTCTAGCTGGGTCAGGACCACAGATCAGGCTGGCTTGGCTTCTGCCTGCAGTGGCCCACACTCTTCTAGACTCATCCAGACACCATGAGTGGCCGAGTTGGAGACCTTAGCCCCAAGCAGGCAGAAACCCTGGCCAAGGTGAGACACCCTTCCTCTAAAGCCCCAGAAGAAAAGAGTTGAGGATCAGGGGAAGGGGGTGGCCAGAACCCTGCCCCACTCTGTTGGCTTAGTGTGTCTTTGACATTTTCTCTTCGCTGTCACCTTACCCAGCGCCAAGCTCCAAAGCAGCCAGTGACATCAGCTCTGTCCAGGGGAAGAGTTGAGTGAACAGTACCACATCCAAGCAATAATAGTGTGTGTGCCAGATCAAACTTGATTTCTCATGTAGGAACCAGGACTAGAGAGCTTTACCAAACAACTGTCCCTTTCCTATCCCTTTCAGGCCCCTTAGGTGGGAGCTGAAGAATGCTAATGGTCTGCCCCTCTGAGTCTGTTCCCCCTTCTTCCCCAGGACCCTGAAAGATGACCTGTCCGTAAGAGCGAGAGAGACAGGGCGGGGTGTGTTGTCATCCGCACGGTCAGGGGGAGAGGACATGTAATCACTAACTGTGCTTTTGTAGAAAATGGGATGAAAAAAGGCAGAAGCCTTGGATAGGCCAGCACATGGAAAGAACTATGAATATCTCCATATTCCAATCCACTTACCCACCTCCCATCCACTCATTTATCCTTCCTTTCACCCATCCCTCCACCCCACCCATCCATCTATCCATCCCCTCTGCTCTCTATTCACTGACCTATTTCTCCTTCCTCTACTCACCTATCTCTCTTTCCTTCCATCCATTGATTTCTCCTTCCTTCTTTTTCCATCCATCCACCCACTCATCTGTCCACCTGTTCCTCCATCCATTCTTCTTTCTATTCATTTACTTAGTATCTATCCTTCCTCACATTCACCTACCCATCTATCCATATATTCATCCAATGATCCATCTCTCCTTCTAGCCATCTGCTCACTCATCTTTCCATCATCATGCAACAGACTACATGCGTAAGAGAAGGCATGATGAAAATAATTATTGGGTCTGAAGGCCAAGGTTTAGTGCAAAAGGCACTTTAACCAGCATCTCCCTTTGCAGTTCCGAGAAAATGTGCAGGACGTGTTGCCTGCCCTGCCCAATCCTGATGACTATTTCCTTCTGCGCTGGCTCCGAGGTGAGGGCAGAAGTGGGGGGTGGGGGGCACCTGGGTGAGGGGCATTGAGAGGGGTCTGGTCCCAACTGCTCCAGAACTCTCGGGATCTAGCCACTCCCTCTCACTTCACATGTTCAGGTCCAGGAGAAGGGAGGGTGCAGGGAATGAAGGTCTTACCCAGGCCCCCAGTGCTGTGCCTAGCTCCTCACAGCCCAGGACAAGGACAAGGTAACTACAAGGTAGCCTCTTTCTTGCCTCACACCTTCCTTACATCTTCACACAGCTCGGAATTTTGACCTGCAGAAATCAGAGGCCATGCTCCGCAAGGTGAGACCCATCCACCCCTAGGGATTTGGGGAAGGGCTTTGTGGGGAACAATCCATGCCTTGAGCCCCCATCTCCATCCCCTCCTCAGAGGTGCTGGGAGTCCAGTGGGGCCTTACCTCTTCTCTCTCTTTCAGTACATGGAGTTCCGGAAGTTCATGGACATTGATCACATCCTTGATTGGCAGCCCCCAGAGGTGAACCAACACCCCTACACACACACACACACACACACACACACACACACACACACACACACACACAACAGGTTTTTACAGACATAGCATTCAAGCAGCCTCTGGCTCACTGGAGAGCATGAGTGAAGGCCAGAAAGCCCGAGAAGCTTTTAGAACTGCTCACAGCCTACAGGGACCTCTCCTATAATAATTATGAATATTTCCTGGGTGCTTATGAGGTCCTGACCTGAGTTAAAACTTTAGCCACATGAACTTATTTAGTCATCACAGCTCAATGAGGTGGGTACAATTATCTCCATTTTACAGATGAGAACACAGGTCCAGCAAAGGTTAAGCAGCCTACTTGAAGTCCCACAGGCCCAGTATGGAGCTGGGATTTGAATTCACAAAACTGGGCACTTCACCACCACAGTTAGCTTGTGCCTCTGAGCCCTCACCTCTAGGGTCTTGCTCAGAACATTATGTCTGTTTAGTGAAGAACTCCTGGGACTGTTCTCTCCAACTCCTGTGTAGCCCACCAAGGAGTTGGAGAGAACAGTCCCACACACTAGTACCTTAGTAAAGCAATGGACATGGTTTCATTTGTAGAGCATGAGCTCTACAGGCCAGGCATTGATACTGGGAACTTTCCCTAGCAGTCCCCTAAGGGAGGAATTATCCAAGCCATTTTACAGAAGAGGGAATGGAAGGGGACTCAGAGAGGTAGTGTCACCTGTTCAAAGATGCACAGCAAGGAAGCAGTAGTGTCTATATTTGAACCAGGTATGTTGGCTTTCAGAATCCATGTTTTCCATCACTAAACCAACTTCTCTCAATGGAAAGGGATGTTGGGAGGGGGGTCAGAATTAAGGGTTTCGGAAGCTTTCAGCCAAGCCTAGGTAAGGCCTTGGCTCTTCCAGATACTCACTGTGAGCAAGGCCCTCCCCTGAGAGTCCCTTAGTTTTCTCACCTAGACAATAGTGCCACCTTCAGGGAAAGGACAGTGGTTGTATCATGCTGTGTGTAGGCTTGGGCCACCCAGGTCAGCCTAGTCTGGGGATCTCCAGGGAGGTGGGTAATGCCAAATTCTATGTATCTTTCCATGCCCAGGTAATCCAGAAGTACATGCCTGGAGGTCTGTGTGGTTATGACCGGGATGGCTGCCCCGTGTGGTATGACATCATTGGGCCACTTGACCCAAAGGGCTTGCTCTTCTCCGTCACCAAGCAGGACCTGCTTAAGACCAAGATGAGGGACTGTGAGCGCATCCTGCATGAGTGTGACCTGCAGACAGAGCGGGTGAGGCCCAGGCTGAGGAGGGGTGGGCCCACGTGGGAGGTGAGGCTGACAGGGAACACGGTCCCAGGAACACACTTGTGCTCTCTTCTATCACTATCAGAGGACTCTGGGATCAAACTTCAGCTCTGCTGCTTCCTAGCTGTGTGGTCTTGGAGGGTGGTCTCACATCTCTGAGCCTGTTCCTTACCTATAAATAATAAATAATGGTTGCAAATATTAAATGAGATATTGCAAATGTATGGCCCAGCACACAGGTCCTCATGCATATTTCTCAGCACTAGTTACTGTTATTGCCTCTGAGTCTTCCCCTGCTGTTCCTTGTGTCTGGATAGCTCTCCCCCTAGCACACGACTACCTCCGACACTTCCGTTAGCTCTTTCCCTTCTTTATTTCAGGTCTCAAACTTAGATGTCATCTCTGAGGTCCCTGTCTGGGTTAACGTGTATTCCCACAGTTCCTGTGCTGTTTATTTGCAGCATCTATCTCAGAACTTACAGTGATCTGGTTGCTTGTCAGTCTCTCTATGCAGACTGTGAACACTTTGAGGACCAGAACTGTGGATTATTGAGTATTATGTGTTATACTCTCAGTGTCTGGCACAAAATAGGTGCTTCATAAATATCAGTTGAATGGCAGTAAGAAAGGATGGATGGGTAGGTCAGTTAGTGGGTGAATGGACAAATGGACAGATGGATGGATGATAAATGGATGATGGATGGATGAATGGATGCATGTGTGAGTAAATAAATTCACTGTTTTGTCTACTTGTTCCTTTGAGGACAGAATAAAGGACAGGGAGATTCCCTGAAGGGTCATGTGCTAGGGTCACTATGTCCCAAGTTCTGAGCCTGCACTCTAAACCTAGGGACTAGTCTTTGTTCTCATCCTTGCAGTTGGGGAAGAAGATTGAGACTATTGTGATGATATTTGACTGTGAGGGCCTGGGACTGAAGCACTTCTGGAAACCTCTGGTGGAAGTGTACCAAGAGGTGAGGAGAAGGCCCCTGGGTGACCCTGCCTGCTTTAATGATGAGCTTGGCCTGCTGTGACCTTCTTGCTCACTCAGAGCCAGGATTTGGTAAAAGATTGTGGACTTCCTAGGCTCCAGCATTGCAAACTCAGAACCCAAGGACCTTAATGTGTTTCCCAAAAGATCTCACAGAACAGACCTCAGAGTCAACACTGTACTGACACCACAGGGTTCACCTTATGCCAACCCTTCCCAGCTCTGTCATCCCTGGTTCTGTGACTCCAGCAAGTCACATCATCCTTCCATTTTTCAGTTTCCTCACCTACAAAATAGGATATTGACATTCTGCATTTCAAAGGGATGTAGGGATAGTCTAGTGATTTGATATGTAAATTATGTACACAGTGCTTGGCAAATAATGAGCATTTAGTATACAGTAGTCATTAATATTACTATAAGATTTACTCTAAAAATTCTTATTATTAGAATGTGGTTGTTATAGTCTGACGTGGAAAGATCTCCTCCAGAGGCGAGTGGAAGTGATGGAAAGATCTCCTCCATAGCCCTTTGAACACTCCAGATGGGAGATTGCAAAGGTAGCAGGAATAGGAGAAGATGCGATGTAGGCTCTGATGGGGTTTTTCTTGGTTCCACAGTTCTTTGGCCTCCTTGAAGAGAATTACCCGGAGACCCTGAAGTTCATGCTCATTGTGAAAGGTGTGGCAAGTGACTTCACTTTTTTGTGCCTCTGTTTCCTCATTTGTGCCCTGGGGACAATAAAAGTGCCTTCTTTCCTGGGTAGTAGCGAGGCAGATTGGTTGCTTGGCTGTATGAAAATCACTTAGAGTACCTGGAACAAAGTACTCCATAAATAGAAATGTCTATGGTTGGCCTTACCGTAAGAAGAGGCAGTTCCAGCACTAGCTCTTCTAGGAATCTTCCCTCTTATTTCCCACCCACATTGATCTCTCCATTCCCAAACTGCTTGTGGCACTGGCACCTGAAACAGCCAAGTCTCACCTTTCCTATCTGCTGCCTTCTGGAGGCCTGTAGTTGTCTTGTGTGTGTTCACCCTGGTTTTTCCCCCTGAGTTGTCTACTCCTTGAAGGCAGGGCCTCTGATTTTCCACTTCTGTTGTATCCTTCGCAGACCTGGGACCACGTAGATGTTCAATAGGTATTTGTGTTGTTGTTTGACTGGATTGGTAGATGGAAGGGTGGGTGGATGTTTGATGGTTGGCTGGTTATTTGGGTGGTTGGTTGATTAGCTGCTTAGTTGATTGTCTAGTTTACTGGCCAGTTGGTTAGCTGTCTAGTTGAACAACTGGTGGTTGGTTGGATAGTTGGTTGGTTTGTTGATTGGTTGGTTTGTTGGATAGTTGTTAGTTTAGTTCACTGAGTGACCAGCTGGCATTTTGGTGGGGTAGGTAGGTGAGTAGCTAATTGGCAGATTGGTTGGCTGGCTGACTGGTTTATTGCTTGGCTGGATCTTATGCTGCAGAAGGCAATTGGATGGGTAGTTATCTGGTTGCTTAATAGACCGATGGGTTTTCTAGTTGGCTGATTTGATAATTGGTTGTTTGACTATTTGGTAGGTTGGCTGGTTGACTGGTGGGATGATTAGAAGATAAATTGATTGGCCATTTTGTTGATTGGTTGATACATTCGATGACTGATTGGGTGGTTGGTTAGTTGGTTGTTTGTTGGATGGTCGACCAGTTGTTGGACTGTTTGTCAGGTGCAGGGCATTTTCCAATTCATGACTCCTTCATATTATTGGCTATGGATGTTATGGAGAGAATGGCCCAATGGAATTATTTTCTCCTCCATTATCTCTGCTTATATCTCTCCAGCCACCAAACTGTTCCCTGTGGGCTACAACCTCATGAAGCCCTTCCTGAGTGAAGACACTCGCAGAAAAATTATAGTATTGGGAAGTAAGTAATTCCAGATCTATCCCCTGAGCTCTGTGCCATTTAGACTCAGAAATTCATCTCCAAAAGTGAAGCAAAATGTTTTGCACTACAGAGTCTTTCCAGTTACCTCTTCCTCATTCCTTCTCTTTGGTGACTAAGGCCTTCACAACTTCCTCCTTATCAGTTTCAGTTTGGTTGATAGTCAATCTTTAGGCTATGAGCCTCATTTTCCTTTCAACATTCATCACCTCAGTGCTTCTAAAGGCAGTTTGGGCTGAGATGGATGAGAAAGAGCAGCAGGAAGAGGAGATGTGATCCAGAGAAGAAAGGGTCAACAAATGCCATTTATGTGCTATATGATACCCAACAAGGCCCTTGACCTCCTAAGGCTTTAAAGCCTCCTTGAGAGAGAAGCTTGGTTGCCTCACTAGGTTAAGCATCTGACTTTGGCTCAACAGTTTGTGGGTTAAAGTCCTGCATCAGGCTCTGTACTGACAGATCAGAGCCTAGAGCCTGCTTCGGATTCTGTATCTCCCTTCCTCTCTGCCCCTCCCCCACTTGCACTCTGTCTCTCTCTCTCCTTCTCTCAAAAATAAATATTAAAAAAATTAAAGTCTCCTTGAGACAATTAGATAACTCTTTTTTTAAAAGATTTTTTAACCTTTTATGTATTTTTGAGAGACAGAGAGACAGAGTATGAGCAGGGGAGGTGCAGAGAGAGGAGATACAGAATTGGAAGCAAGCTTCAGGCTCTGAGCTGTCAGCACGGAGCCTGATGTGGAGCTCTAACTCATGAACTGCGAGATCATGACCTGAGCCAAAGTTGGCCACTTAACCAACTGAGCTACCCAAGTGTCCTGAGACAATTAGATAACTCTTATCTTCATTACTCATGACTGGAAGACCCTCAAAAATGTGCCAATTCCATCAGCTAGGAGGAAACATGTTTCCATAGCAACATAATGCTGGAAGACATATCCTGCATCTTGAAGCCTGGGAGGCTGGGGAATTGGCCCTGGAAGCCTAGTCCCTGTAGGCTTTCTCCCCAAGCTCAGGTCCCCCTGGTGGGAATGGGGGACTGACAAGCCCCATCCATGCCTAATAACAACCCTTCAACCCCTCTGCCCACAGACAACTGGAAGGAAGGTTTGCTGAAACTCATCAGTCCCGAGGAACTGCCTGTTCAGTTTGGGGGGACACTGACTGACCCAGATGGGAACCCCAAATGTTTAACTAAGGTATGAAGAGCCCAAGACAGAGGAGGGGAAAGGAGTAGAGCTGAGTGCCTTTGACACCCACTCATTCATTCCATAAATGTCTATGGAGAAACCCCTGTGAGCCAGGTTTTGAGCTTGACAGTCCCAGCCCTACAATCATCAGGCTCTCAGCAGCTGTAGAGGCAAACAAAAAATGAGGAAAATTTGACTCAGAAGGATGAGCTGGAAGGGGAAGTTTCCAGAAGAGGCCTTGACTCTGTAGGGTCAGGGAAGGTTTCTCAGGGGGTGGGAGAGGATGGGATGAGCAGGATACTTCCAGAAGATGTTGAAAGCATCTCAAGCAGATGAAACAGCACAAACAATGCAGTGGCCAAAAGAAGGAAGCAACCTCATTCAGTCCTGTATCTGCAGATAAACTATGGTGGAGAGATCCCCAAATCCATGTATGTGCGGGACCAAGTGAAGACTCAGTATGAGCACTCAGTGCAGATCAACCGTGGCTCCTCACACCAGGTGGAATATGAGATTCTGTTCCCAGGCTGTGTCCTCAGGTAAGATCCAGGCCATCAACCCATCCCTGGCTGGGTCTTAGACCCTCAGGTTCCCATCAGACTGAGCAGGAATTTGTCCCCTTCCCACCCACCCAGGTGGCAGTTCTCATCGGATGGTGCAGACATTGGTTTTGGGGTTTTCCTGAAGACCAAGATGGGGGAGCGACAGCGGGCTGGTGAGATGACAGAAGTGCTGTCCAGCCAGCGCTACAATGCCCACATGGTGCCTGAGGATGGGAGCCTCACCTGCTCAGAAGCTGGTGTCTGTAAGTCTACCCTGGCTGGGTCCCAGCTCTGGAAGGCTGGAGTCACCTGTCTTACAGTTTAGAGGGGGAAATAGAGGGTCAGTGACCGCCCCACCAGGAATATACAGCCTAGGTTAGTGCTATTCATTCACACAGTTGCTCATTCAGGCCACACTCTCAAGCATTTACTACACACCAAGAGCCAGAGACATACAGGCCTTGCAGAGAGTGAGAGCCCTCAGGACAGAGGACACAGGCAAGGGACAATAGGGCAGGTGCAACATTTCACAGGAGGAAACTGGGGCTTTGAGAAGTAAATCAACTTGTCCAGAGTCACATAGCTGACTGTGATGCCAGGGTACCACCTCAACCTAATGGTAGCTGCATAACCCTGGGCAAAATCTTACCAATCTAGACCCTTGGCTTGCTCACCTATGAAACAGAGATTACAACCCCTGCCTCTTGGGGTGGTTGTAAGGAAGTAGAGGGTGTGCACAGGCCTTATCCAGCACCTCACCTTATCCAAGAGGGCTGGGAGGCCTTTGACACTCCCAACTGCCCTCCTCACACTCCTACAATGAAAGTGTCCAAGTGTGGAGACAGCAGGATGCACTAGCCATTGTTCTTATTGCCAGTTGATGCAACTAAAGCCAGGCTGGGCACACACCAAAAGCAAATCAGTGTCTCTTTACAGACATGGCTCAAGGGTGACAGCTCCCATGGGAAAGGGAACAGGAGTAGTGGGAACTTGGCCCAACTTAGCAAACACAGCAGTTAGGAACACAGCCTGTCTTCACTCCTGTGGCCAGGGCAAGGACACGGGGAGTACGAAGCCAGTCCTAACTACCCATCTGTCCATTTGTCCCTACAGATGTCCTGCGGTTTGACAACACCTATAGCTTTGTCCATGCCAAGAAGGTCAGCTTCACAGTGGAGGTGCTGCTCCCAGATGAGGGAATGCAGAAGTATGACAAGGAGCTCACCCCTGTCTAGGCAGCTCCTTCACTTCTCAGAGACCCCTAGCCCTCTCATTTCTCTATCTATATCCCACCCCCTCAGAAATTGATCATTACTTCTCTTGACACTGTGAGATTAGTGAGTAGAGAAAGAAATGCCTTGGGGAAGACTTATATGCTGTGGTTAGATCAGGAAAGTTATGAGAGGCACAATTTTAGAGGATGCCAAGATTGTAAAGAGGGAGAAACAAGGCAAAAGCAAGAGGAAAATGTCACTGAAACCCAAGAAATAGGAAAATGAATCCTTAGCTTTTGTCCTTACTTCTTCTATGGCATTTGTGTGTGTGTGTGTGTGTGTGTGTGTGTTTGAATTTCTTCCCTATGATCTATGAGCCACGTGGGTTACAGATGTATCTAAATTGTTTTTACCTCTACTCCATATACTCAATGTATACATATGAAGTTGAATGAAGGTAGTGAGCAGGTAATTCATGGGTATGCCTGACAAGAAGGAACCTCACCTGGAGCAGGTTTCAGCACCTCGGACAGAGACAGGGCTGTGGAAGGAGTCAGGTGATGCAGCCCCTAGGTTTCTGGGAGTGGCTGCCCCCTCAGGCAGGTAGGAGATGCCTACATAAGGCTTTGTCTGACTCAGGGCACACAGCTTTCCCAACCCATCACTCCAACCAGTACTCAGTTGCATACTGTTTGGTCAAGGAAACTCATGGCAAATTGGGCCAGGGCCTATGCTTCTAAACCTAGCATGCTCCACTATTTGCATGGGCTCTGAGAAGCATGACCCCCTGACACCCTCTATGGCCCTGGGTGACTAAGGGAGAGGTCGGGACTCCCTGATGTTCTTCCTTCAAGTCAGACACATGGAGACACTGGCTTGAGCGCTACATCTTGACACAACTCTTGCCAGGAGGAGCAAAATTACATAGAGAATGTGGGTGGGTGGGAACCAAAGGGCTGGCTGGTCCTTGGGAATGAGTTGCCCAGGGCCAAGCTGCTGGAGTGAGCCAGAGTGGGGGGCCTGACTTTGAAACCAATCAAGCAAACGTTCAACCGTGGCTAGCACTTTCTCTCTGCACTTACAGACACAAGATTTTATCTCCACTTTATAGATGGGAAACTGAGCTCCCAAAAGGCACTGGCCTTGTTTCATGTGGCACATGGATGGCAGAAATAGCACTGAAGTTAAGGCTACCCTCCCCAACCTGCTCACTCCCACCAAATTCATGTTACTATAGCAACGTGCCAGAACAAGACAAGACTGCCAACTCTCAGAGGTAGGAAGGGTGAGGGAGGGAGAAGGAGAGGAAAAGGAAAAGAGGGTTGTTAGATTTATGGGGGGAAATGCAATATTTGGAACATATTTAAAATTCATTGTTTATCTGAAATTAAAATTTAATAGGGCATCCTGTATTTTATCTGGCCACCCTACAAGTGAGGGAGAAGGGAGAGTGAAGCAAGGGAGAAAGGGAAGAGGAGGATGGGTTCACTCTCTTGGAAGGGAGAGTGAGCCAAGGGGTCCTTGGGAGAACGTGGCTCAGGCATCAATGATGCAGGGTGAATGGACAGGGTGGTCTTACCTTTGCCCCCAAGGGAAAGGCTCCCACATTGCAGTGGGGTCAGAAGGAGGATGAGGGGGTGGACCCTTTGCACCCTTGAAGCTGAGGCAGCCATGAACACCACTGGATGCCCTCATTTGCCCAACCTCCTCTATTGCCACTCAGAGATGTCACTTTGAACAGAAGGATACTTGCTACCAAGAGACAGGGCAGCACAGGGAGCCCAGGCCAGGGCTGGAGCTGAGAACCAAAAAGTGTCCCTCATCATCTGCTAACACCCACGGCAAATCAGCTCCCACCTCATTTCCACCATCAGTGGGGCAATAGCCCTCCCCAGCTCCCAGCCTCACTCAGGGGTCACTTAGCTCCAGTTCTGAATGTCCAGGAGGTGGTGTGGAGGGAGGGGAAAAGGCCCTACTTTGTTACCTTGGCTGATGGGCACACGACTCCAGCAGTGGTCAGCAAGCAGCGTAAAGGCAGAAAGACTGAGGTCTGCATGCTCTCTACAGTATGTGAAGGTCAATTACCTTTCAGTTCCAACGGCCCAGAAATGACTGGGAAGGAAAGGCTTCATCTGCCCTTGGTAGCTACAGGCTGTTTCCCATAAGAGGGATCAAATTTGGCAGTCTGGGACACTTACCATGCAGGACCCAGGCCAGGGCAACCCATAGGCATAAAACAAGCCAAATGGTGCCAGATAGGCACCTTTCCCAGAAATCCATCACTGCAGTAGCCTCTCCAGAGAGCCCACGTTCACATCATGCAGTTACGAGGTCATATGTGACCCCCAACACACAGTGCTAACATACACAAGTGCCTGAGAGAGTTAAGGCAAGACCAGAGCACCAGAGAAATAGAAAAATTTATTGTGTGTAAATAAAAGAGTGGCTTAGTTGTCTTCTGAAGGGCCTGCTGCCTCCAAGCTTTCTTTGATGGTAGACTGGGACACCATATCAATCTCCTCCTCAGAAGAGGGTCTCTCCATTGCCACAGCTATGCTTCCAACTCCTGGGCAGCCAAGGGGACGGTGCAACATGAAGGCCTGGACTACCTTCTTCAGGGCCAGCAGGAACAGAATCAGCAGCAGAGTGACACATCTGAAGGCCAACACCACAGCCACCAAGTGCTTCAGTGTCTTGCAAGAGGCTGGGAAGGTTGGGGCCAGGGAGTAGCTCAGGACTGGGAGGAGCGAGGCCTGCCACACAAAACAGCTGGCACAGACCTTGAGCCCAGAGTTATTCAAAGTAGAAAAAGAAAAACCAGAAACATGTGGGGAAACAGGATGTGGCTTGGGATAGGACAGAGCAGGGAGATCAGGACCAAGAGCAAGTGTCCATGGGCCTGGATGGTGGAACCTGACCTTTTGGGGCCTAGGCTGCCTCCCAGCCCTGCACCTACCTTTAAACCATGATATCAGCAGCTTCTTAATTGTCAGTGGCCGCATGACTACCATATGGGTGTTCTCTTCATCTGGGAACTCTGTGGAGGGGAAGCTGTTAGCCCTGGAATCTTCTTCCCCTCCCAGTTTCTGGCAGACACCCAGAGCCAGGTAACTCCTAAACAGGTTGTGTCCAACAGCTAAATGGGGGCAGGAGGCAAAGGGCAATGAGATGTCACCTAACAGGGTTTAAGAGAAAATACCTAAAGAACACAAATATCCATCCACAGGTACTGATTCAATTCTAATACCTCCATTCCACGGACTACACCATCATAAATATAAACGAGGTATCTGACCTACAGAGGTGTCTGTAGAGTATTATAGAAGGTTAGAGAACATTATAAAAATTGGACCATTATATTAATGTGTATATACAACAAAAGCTGCTTGGATATGGTTACACTAAGATGTTAGTTAACAATGGTTTGAATTGTAGGTTTAAATCTTTTTGAAATCTCTAAATTGTCTTGGATGGTTATATATTTTTTATATTTGTTTGGTAAAAGGGGCAGCAGAATGTAATTAGCATACACATCATGAGGTCCTGTCACCAAGCAGAGCAAGCTTCCTCCTCACAGCACCCATACGGGTTACCCAACAGCCCACAGCCCACTCCACCGAAGCTACAATTTTTTCCTGGCCCCTACCCCCTGATTCACCACCTTATCTACCTTCCCAGCCCAGGGGCTGTGCCCGTGGCAGATTCAGTAACATCCATCCCCCCACACAAGCCAAAAATCCCCAGTAGACCCTCTAACCTGGTCCCGCTCTACTTACCATGGCACTGGCCTCTTTTGGGGTGGGAAGAGCCAAAGTCACAGCAGTCACACACAGAGCTCTCCTACTTATCTGCGAGCTGCCAGTGGTCCAGACAGAAAGACATGCTCAGTCAGGAGGGTAGGAGGGCGACAGTCTGCCCCGTGTCCCAATTCCAGCATGGCAGTATTAGCTGGGTGACAGCAGGCCATCACTTGGCCTCCCTGGACCTTCCTTTCCCTGGTTTTCCTCTATCAGGGAGAGGCCGCCTATACCTCCAGGGTAAGGATTTCCATTGGTACAGATGAAGTATCACAGTACAGGGCCAGGTGAGGCTTTTCAACCTCTCTCCATTGCCCAGCTTCCAGGACCCAGGGCCCACACATCATGGCAGCAAACATGCTCATTTTAGAAATGGGGCTCCAAGAGTCCCACATCTTGAAGCAAAGAACACTCACCTATATAAGGGAGTATTATAAAAACAGGATTTCTGACCAGACTTGAAGGGTCTTGTCCAACTCCAGATGCTCACCCAGCAAATGATACACACCTGGAAGGATGGACTAAGGAAGAATCTGGGACCCCAACACTCACTTAGAGGTTCTTCCTGGGCGCCCATGGCCCCTGACACAGACACCCACGTGTAGGACTACATCATACCTAATTTATCCCCCACCAGCTGAACACTGCAGGGAGGAAGCCAGGCCAGTCTGTGGGTGGCACAGCCCCAGTCTATTACAGGCCCTTAGAGGGCAAGAAAATTCTTATTTCTCCTTTTTTATGAGAATTTCCTCACTGCAGCCCTGGTTTCGAACAGGGCCCTAGTTAAGCTACAACTTGGTCAGACACTGGGTTCTATGTAGCTGTTAACTTTCATAGGAGAGTACAAAAATGTTCTTCTATGCAGAGAAATATGCTTAATGTTAAGAGTGGGGGCCAGACACAAATTTTGTAATGGCACATAGAATCCCATTTTATAGGGGCTCCTGGGTGGCTCAGTTGGTTAAGTGTCTGACTCTTGATTTCACCTCAGGTCATGACCTCACAGTTCATGAGTTCAAGCCCCACTTTGGGCTCAGTGCAGACATCATGGAGCCTGCTTGGGATTCTCTCTCTCTCTCTCTCTCTCTCTCTCAATCTCTCTCTCCCTACGCCCCGCCCCCCCACTCACATGCACTCTCACATGCTCTCAAAATAAATAAACATTAAAAAAAAAGAATCTTATTTTATAAAACACTAACTTAGCATATACCAAAATATTGGTGATTCTCAGGGTTTCAGGATTTTCATTTCCTGTTCTATGCATGAATTAACAAGTAATGTTGAGAACAGAAAGCAAAAGTCAAGTGTCAAGTATGGCTCTTTGTAAATAGACGTACACTTAGGAAATTCCAGTACCATCTTGGGACAACCACCAAGCAGTAACGGTTGTCTATTGTACATCTGTGTTTCCCATGATGACAGTATCTTAGGAAGATACAAAGGAACAAAGCTCCAAGTAGTCCCAGGCTTTCAGCGCCCAGAGGGACAGAAGCCATGGTTCCCCAGGTTCCCTCACCCACA